TGTGTGTGTGTGTGTGTGACTACAATTACACAAAACTTTAAGCATGTGAGACTGTTAAGGACCTCCACACAGCTGTATTGCTGTATTAGCAAACGTAAAGTCCCTGCTGTATTGACCTAAAACCTGATATGAACCCACAAACCACATCTGCCTAAAATCTTTTTCCCCTTTTTGATTTTAACTTTATTCTCATTTTATTTTTTCTTTGCTGTATTATATTACTAATAGTCGCCAAAACTGACCCTCAGGGATCCCTGAATGTTTTATCAAGGAAAGGCAGAGGGCAGTAAATACTTACAGCAACTTTAACTCCACTTAAATTGAAACTGGGACCAAATGGCTTCACATTTCTATTTCTTGAGAGACTCAGAAGGTGAATAAACACACTTTGAGAAAGTATAGATTGTAAACCAGTTGGACAAGGTCTCAAAGGGAAAGAAAATGGACTTCTAATGTCAAGAAAAAATAAGAAATCCACGTTGAAGGAGAATTAAAAGGTCCAAGAGAGGTATATTTTCCTTTAATTGTGATCATTTGCAGAATGCACTATTAGATTTTTTTTCACTGCAAGATTGCGATTAAAACTTGTGTGGAAATGTTGCCAGAGGTACCAAGAAAATGACATACGATCCAGGAAGGCCAGTTAGAGTGATACATGCATGAGTTCATGATTTCCAAGGCTTATCAGACAGCAGAACACTGACCCTGTTGTCATTGTATTTCTCTCGTCTGTGACTCATTTTATGTTTGTCTGATCAGTGTGAACAGGCTCCACACTGTTACAATTTCCAACTGACTCAAATGTATTCTATATCTACTAAAGTCTTACCCTGAGTCACGTCACCTAAACAGGAGCCGAGTTTAAATTCTAGATCATTATTTCTTTCGCCGTTGTCATGGAAATAAATAAACGTTGCACCGCCCGCCTGCTTCAAATGTCGCAGTTTTAGTCTGATGACATGAAGAATGACAATACACAGTGGAAAGACAAACAGCAGACTGTCTGTGTTTGAGGAGATGTTTCAGTGAGGCTGAAGCCAGAGAGTGAGTAACTGACTAAAACCACTTCTCAGTTACAGTAAACTGAGGTTACTATATTTGTATTACAGATTCTTCATTCTATTCACTGCTTGTCCCGAGCTTTAGTCTTCTGTAATCTGCAGTCTGGGATGTGTGGGAAGTTCTACGTTTTTAAGGAGTTTATCCACAGATACGTCACATACTGTGACATGTGACATGTTACTTTAGGTCTCTGCAGTAACTCCTAATAGTTGCTTGAACTACTGGTGATGTGGGAAATGAAGCTTTGTCAACTGTTAAACACACTTAAAATCACAATTGAGGACCACGGCTGCTACTTGTTAAAGCTGCTGTACCTCCACTGTACTGCTGTCTCAGAGGACTCTGATTCCAATTATATATGTGTGTGTGTGTGTGTGTGTGTGTGTGTGTGTGTGTGTGTGAGGGGAAAAGAGAAAGAGAGACCACAGAGTTTATTTGAGTAGAGGACCACTGTACAGGATCGGGTTCTTACCACAGCTGCAGTGATGTCAGCCATGTGTGAGTGTGTGTACATACATGAAAGATCCAATATGTGTGTATCAAAGACGTGTGTGTGTGTGTGTGTGTGTGTCTGGATACTGCATGCAATACACACAAGCTCATTCTTTGTGCGTGCATGTCTTTTTATCATTTCCTCTGTGATACACACAGTCACAGCACAGCCCAGTCTTCAACAAATCATGTTCATGTGCAGCTATTCTGTATTAGTGATTTGCATTAAAGGGCCCCATTGAGAGCCAGAGAGTCCAGGTGTGGATTTCTGGATGACTGATAATGGATAAATGTTATCCTTTGACGCAAGACGACCACAGTTCACATCTCACAGTATTTTAGTGATCTGACATTTCTGTTACGTAATAATGACTGAGATCTTTTCCTATACCAAACCTCAACAGTGCCGTAGTTCTGACACAATACTTTAAGTTAACAAGATTTAAACATATAAATCAAAACAAGAATTGTTCAGTTATATGGTGTATTGATTGCTTGTACCAAATGCAATACTATGAGCCAACCTTACAAGAGTCAAACACTTTAAAAGTGCAGCTATCTGTAAGTTACTTGAATAAAGTCTTAGGGCTTAATATTCAAAAAACACTGGGAGCATTCGGGTGTTGCAATGCTGACGAAGTCTTTGTTACGACTTTGTAAATACAGATTCATTTATTTTATTGTGTGTCTGAGGTGGGTATGATTATTAAGATCCTCAATAACATGTATTGTTATCGGTTGGCTGTACGTTCACTCTACATTTTTCTGCCTTTTCTTTTCCCTCATAGACTAGCATCAAGGGCGTGAATGCTAAAAAC